CCTCCTCCTCCTCCTCCTCCTCCTCCCCCCCTTTGCCTTTCGGTGGGGGATTTTGGGGAGAGGGAATGGGGTGGGTGGGCTGGGAAACCCTCCCCCCCCTCCCCAGCCCTCATTTCCTGGTGTGCAGCGTGTCCTGGAACTTGGTGCTGGTGTAGCGAAGGTGGAAACCCTTCTTGTTGATGGTGTCGTCCGAGTGGAAGTGGATCATCACCGAATCTCCGGCCGAGTAGACCTCCTCCGGGGGCTGCAAGGTGTGTGTTGGGGGGAGATGAGGGAGAGATGGTGCTGAAGACCACCCTAGGGTGCTCAATCATGGGGGGATTTATGATGGGGAGGGTGAAAAGTCCCTGCGAGCCCATGTCCAACCCCAAATCCCACCCTGGGGATCACTCTGCTTGGGTTCATCTTCACCCATCGCCTTCCCGGCCTCCACCCACATCTCCCCCTCCCCAAGAAACCCACCCTCAATAAACCCACCCCACCGCTCATCATCCCCCCCATCCCCAGCTCACCCCGGACCCGCAGAAGCGGCCGAGACGGGGGGCCGTCCCGTCGTAGCCGTCGAAGAGCTCCATGTAGTCGTAGCCGCAGTCGGCTTCCTCCTCGATCTCGAAGGTCTGGAAGATGAGCTCCACGCCGTAACCTTCCTCGGCCATGATCACCCACTGGCAGTCCAACCCCCCCGGGTAGTTGTTGTCCCCAAATTGAGCGTGGGAGTACAAGTCCTTGGTCTTCACCTCGGCACGGACCTGGCCCCCGCACACTTTGGGGAGAAACCCACAAGATATGGGGGTTAAGATGGTCTATGGACCTTCTTAAGGTCCATAGCGTTAAGGTTAAGGGTTAAGAAGGTCTACGGGCCCCCCAAGCCCCCCAAACCCCATAACCAGGTTTTTTTCCCCAGTCCCGTGGTGGTGGTACCTGTGGTGTGGGTGGCCTCGAAGCCCTTCTTCTGGACGGAGTTATCGGAGACGAACTTGAGGAACATCTTGTTGCCGGAGGAGACGAGGGGCTCGGGCTCTTTGGCCCCACAGAAACGGCCGAGGGGGGGGGCTTTGGCATCTTTGCCATCGTAGATCTCCAGGTGGTCGTAGGCACATTCCTGCTGCGCCTCCACGTCCAGCTCCGAGAAGGTCTACGGAGGTGACACCTTGAGTTGGATGGAGAGGAACTCCTCCCATGACCCTCCAGGTGTTGCCTACCCCTTCTGGTGTGGTGTGTCCCCCCCCAGCAACCCCATCCCTACCAGTTTGACACGATGCCCCGGCGTGGTGGTGATGGCCCAGGTGCACTCCTTCTTGCTGGGGTATTTATCAGGCCAGTTGGGGCTGGTGATGGTCCCCGAGATGGACGTCACCTTATGGTCGCAGCCGGCTGTGGGGACAACGGGGGTGGAGATGGACAGGGAAGGGGGGAACCATCAGTGGAAAGGTTTTGGGGTGGTCCTGCTGGGTATCGGTGTAGGGGGGTGGTTTTTTGGGGGGGTGAGGACCCACCTTCCTTGCAGTCGTGCTTGTTGTCGTGGAGGACGAAGCCGCTGCGGCACTGGCACTCGTAGCTGCCGAAGGAGTTGAGACACTCGTGCTGGCACCCCCCGTTGTTTTTGGAGCACTCGTCCTTGTCTGCCGGGGAGAGACCAGAGAGGAGAGGACCCCCCCGGCTGAGCCAAGGAGGAGGACCCGGTTTTTTGGGGGGGAAGGACCACTCTGGAGACCTGAGCCATAGTGGGGGGTGGGTGTGATGTCCTGGGTGCCCCCCACCCCCCCAAAAATAAACCCCCCCATCTCCTAATGGGATGTCCGGGAGAGGAGAGAGGACCACGGAACAGACCGGGATAAGCAGGTAATGGTTTTTTGGGGTTTTTTGGGGGGGAAGGACCACTCTGGAGACCTGAGCCATAGTGGGGGGTGGGTGTGATGTCCTGGGTGCCCCCCACCCCCCCAAAAATAAACCCCCCCATCTCCTAATGGGATGTCCGGGAGAGGAGAGAGGACCACGGAACAGACCGGGATAAGCAGGTAATGGTTTTTTGGGGTTTTTTGGGGGGGAAGGACCACTCTGGAGACCTGAGCCATAGTGGGGGGTGGGTGTGATGTCCTGGGTGCCCCCCACCCCCCCAAAAATAAACCCCCCCATCTCCTAATGGGATGTCCGGGAGAGGAGAGAGGACCACGGAACAGACCGGGATAAGCAGGTAATGGTTTTTTGGGGTTTTTTGGGGGGGAAGGACCACTCTGGAGACCTGAGCCATAGTGGGGGGTGGGTGTGATGTCCTGGGTGCCCCCCACCCCCCCAAAAATAAACCCCCCCATCTCCTAATGGGATGTCCGGGAGAGGAGAGAGGACCACGGAACAGACCGGGATAAGCAGGTAATGGTTTTTTGGGGTTTTTTGGGGGGGAAGGACCACTCTGGAGACCTGAGCCATAGTGGGGGGTGGGTGTGATGTCCTGGGTGCCCCCCACCCCCCCAAAAATAAACCCCCCCATCTCCTAATGGGATGTCCGGGAGAGGAGAGAGGACCACGGAACAGACCGGGATAAGCAGGTAATGGTTTTTTGGGGTTTTTTGGGGGGGAAGGACCACTCTGGAGACCTGAGCCATAGTGGGGGGTGGGTGTGATGTCCTGGGTGCCCCCCACCCCCCCAAAAATAAACCCCCCCATCTCCTAATGGGATGTCCGGGAGAGGAGAGAGGACCACGGAACAGACCGGGATAAGCAGGTAATGGTTTTTTGGGGTTTTTTGGGGGGGAAGGACCACTCTGGAGACCTGAGCCATAGTGGGGGGTGGGTGTGATGTCCTGGGTGCCCCCCACCCCCCCAAAAATAAACCCCCCCATCTCCTAATGGGATGTCCGGGAGAGGAGAGAGGACCACGGAACAGACCGGGATAAGCAGGTAATGGTTTTTTGGGGTTTTTTGGGGGGGAAGGACCACTCTGGAGACCTGAGCCATAGTGGGGGGTGGGTGTGATGTCCTGGGTGCCCCCCACCCCCCCAAAAATAAACCCCCCCATCTCCTAATGGGATGTCCGGGAGAGGAGAGAGGACCACGGAACAGACCGGGATAAGCAGGTAATGGTTTTTTGGGGTTTTTTGGGGGGGAAGGACCACTCTGGAGACCTGAGCCATAGTGGGGGGTGGGTGTGATGTCCTGGGTGCCCCCCACCCCCCCAAAAATAAACCCCCCCATCTCCTAATGGGATGTCCGGGAGAGGAGAGAGGACCACGGAACAGACCGGGATAAGCAGGTAATGGTTTTTTGGGGTTTTTTGGGGGGGAAGGACCACTCTGGAGACCTGAGCCATAGTGGGGGGTGGGTGTGATGTCCTGGGTGCCCCCCACCCCCCCAAAAATAAACCCCCCCATCTCCTAATGGGATGTCCGGGAGAGGAGAGAGGACCACGGAACAGACCGGGATAAGCAGGTAATGGTTTTTTGGGGTTTTTTGGGGGGGAAGGACCACTCTGGAGACCTGAGCCATAGTGGGGGGTGGGTGTGATGTCCTGGGTGCCCCCCACCCCCCCAAAAATAAACCCCCCCATCTCCTAATGGGATGTCCGGGAGAGGAGAGAGGACCACGGAACAGACCGGGATAAGCAGGTAATGGTTTTTTGGGGTTTTTTGGGGGGGAAGGACCACTCTGGAGACCTGAGCCATAGTGGGGGGTGGGTGTGATGTCCTGGGTGCCCCCCACCCCCCCAAAAATAAACCCCCCCATCTCCTAATGGGATGTCCGGGAGAGGAGAGAGGACCACGGAACAGACCGGGATAAGCAGGTAATGGTTTTTTGGGGTTTTTTGGGGGGGAAGGACCACTCTGGAGACCTGAGCCATAGTGGGGGGTGGGTGTGATGTCCTGGGTGCCCCCCACCCCCCCAAAAATAAACCCCCCCATCTCCTAATGGGATGTCCGGGAGAGGAGAGAGGACCACGGAACAGACCGGGATAAGCAGGTAATGGTTTTTTGGGGTTTTTTGGGGGGGAAGGACCACTCTGGAGACCTGAGCCATAGTGGGGGGTGGGTGTGATGTCCTGGGTGCCCCCCACCCCCCCAAAAATAAACCCCCCCATCTCCTAATGGGATGTCCGGGAGAGGAGAGAGGACCACGGAACAGACCGGGATAAGCAGGTAATGGTTTTTTGGGGTTTTTTGGGGGGGAAGGACCACTCTGGAGACCTGAGCCATAGTGGGGGGTGGGTGTGATGTCCTGGGTGCCCCCCACCCCCCCAAAAATAAACCCCCCCATCTCCTAATGGGATGTCCGGGAGAGGAGAGAGGACCACGGAACAGACCGGGATAAGCAGGTAATGGTTTTTTGGGGTTTTTTGGGGGGGAAGGACCACTCTGGAGACCTGAGCCATAGTGGGGGGTGGGTGTGATGTCCTGGGTGCCCCCCACCCCCCCAAAAATAAACCCCCCCATCTCCTAATGGGATGTCCGGGAGAGGAGAGAGGACCACGGAACAGACCGGGATAAGCAGGTAATGGTTTTTTGGGGTTTTTTGGGGGGGAAGGACCACTCTGGAGACCTGAGCCATAGTGGGGGGTGGGTGTGATGTCCTGGGTGCCCCCCACCCCCCCAAAAATAAACCCCCCCATCTCCTGGTGGGGTGGTCCAGGAGAGGAGAGAGGACCACGGAACAGACC